CGGGACAGGGTGGAGGTGGGTCCCGGGACAGGGAGGAGGTGGGTCCCGGGACAGGGATGAGTTGGGTCCCGGGACAGGGAGGAGGTGGGTCCCGGGACAGGGTGGAGGTGGGTCCTGGGACAGGGAGGAGGTGGGTCCTGGGACAGGGACCAAGTGGGTTCTGGGATAAGGATGATTGATTGATTCTGGGACAGACATGAGGTGGCTTCTGGGCCATGATAGAGATAAATTCTGGGACACAGGAGAGGTGGATCTGGGACAGAGGCAGATGGATTGTGGGCGGGCCATCTCACTCTATGCTCCCAGAACCCACCCATGCAGTTTCCTTGGCGTTCCTATCACATCCCAGAGCCACAGTTAGCTTGTCTCCCCCAGGTCTTAGCTCAAACGTCACCTCCTCCAAGCAGCCTCCTTGGGGCCTCCATTCCCAGCTCATCAGGCCGCTGGACAGACAACTGTCCTGCCTGTGCTTCCCCTCCTGAACCCTACCCGCGGGTGATGGTCCCCTCTGGTTGGACTGTGGCTCTCTGAGGGCAGGGCGGGCCTGAGCGCTCACCGCGCACGCTCAGCGCAGCAGGCAGGGCCGGGGTCCCAGGCTGGCCCATCATTACTGTACTGAGCGAATGAGTTTCCCATGAGACTAAGAATCTGGTTTGATTTGCGGTTTTATTCCAAGTGCCTGAGGGCTTCAGAAGTGTGTGTTGAGTCCATCAACAAAGGAAAGAAGGCGTTAGGACGAGAGGAAGTGAGGGGAGTAAGTGAAAGAGAAAGAAAAGGAGGAAATGGAGCCGAAGGCAACTCAGGAACAGAGACAGAGGGAGGGGGAAGAGAGACACAGAGCGAGAAACGCAAGAGCGAAGGAAGCGCCGCGAGCCCTTCTCAATGAATGAGCACGCCTGCCGCCGCCTGCGCGCACCCTCGGGCTGGGGGGCGCTGCGTCTCGGGGCGCAGTGCCAGGACCCTCCGGAGCGGCTGCGGACCCGGCCTCGGGTAGCCTCCCGCAAGGCGAGCGCAGGTGCCGGGTGTAGGGGGTGGTCCCCAGCCCCGCCTCGCAGGCCCCGCCCCCGCCCGCAGGCCCCGCCCCCGCCCGCAGGCTCCGCCCCCCGGCAGCCCGGCGCGCGCGGCATTGTGGGAGTTGTGGTCTCGGCGGCCCCGCGGAGCGCAGCGCGGCGTCGGCACCGGCGGGGGCACCGGCGCGGCTCGGGTTCGGGCTCCGGCTCGGGCTCCCGCGGCGTGGGCTGGGCAGCGGCCGGGCGGCGGCTCCGCGGCTCCGGGCAGGGGGGCGTCCGCAGATCCGCGCCCTCGGGCGGCGGTGTCTCCTGGGTCCCGGCAACCGCCCGGGCGCAGGTAAGCTTCGTCTCCGGGGGCTGCCGGGGCGGGAGGGCGGCGCGGCCGGGCAGGGGTTGGAGGCGGGAGCCGGGCGGCTGCAGGCCCGCGGCCCTCCCTTCCCGGTGCTGCCCCCGCCCCCGCCCCCGCCCCCGCCGAGGATGCTCCGGGACCCGGGCGCCCGCATCCCGGCCCGGCCGAGGCCAGCGCTCGTGCGTGCTGAGCGCCGCCGCCTCGGAGCCCGGCATCACCCTCCCTAGACCTCCTGCTTCTCCTCCTCCTTCTCTCTGCCCCGTCGTGGCCCCTTCCTCCATCTCCCTCCTCCCCTGTGACCCCTCTTTTTCCGCCTCCTCCTCCTCCCGCAGCCCTCGGCGTCACCCACTTCCCATATTTCACGTGGTGACCCTCCTCTCCTGTCCCACGAATTATCAGGCGCCATCAACCTCCTTCCACAATCTTGATCTGATCGCCCACTTTTCCATCGTCCCATCCCCCTCCTGCCCTGACCTCCTGGTGGTCACCATCTGTGTTAACCCATCTTCAGCCCTCCCCTCTTTTCCCACTCTCCAGGGCAGGTGGGTGCTGAAAAGCTAGCCAAGAGAGGAGGAGGGAAGGTCCCCAGGTCTGCGCCTGAGAAGGGCTGGCCCCAGGGCAGCTCTCTGGCTCCTGTGTGGAGAGGGTGACCTGCATCACACACTTTGCCCAGGGCTCTGCTGCTCACTGGGTCTTCCAGGGTGACTTGGCTTCATCCTGAGGGTGAGCAGACACTCTTTGGCATTGGGCAGCCTCTGGGAATGAATATCTGCACTAGGTTGACCTGGTCAGGCCTGAGACCGGCTCTCCCAGGTGTTCGTGGTGTCAGAAGATTGGACTTGCTCACCAACTGGCCATGGATTTGTCTTCAATCCCCCAGAGCCAACTGAGCTGGAAGATCTGGAGTTGCATATGATTAAAGTGCAGAGCTGTAGTGAAATGTCCCATCCCTGATGAGGACAGAAATAACACAGATGACAATGAACAGATGCGTGAAGGAAGCTGGAAGGCACTGTGGTCACTGGGGCGTGGAGCTGTGGGGGGAGAGAATCTCCCTCCCCCTCCACTGGGGAGATGGGGAGTTCACTGGCTAGCTGTGAGGATTCAATGTTTGAAGCAATGCTTAATAAACTGCCAGTCACTCTACCAATGTAAGCGTTTCTTTTGTTGTCACAGTTCAGCTTTGAGCTTGTAAATCCACCTCCGGGTGCAGGGGCCTATTGGCATATTTTGGCTAAAAGTGACTGACAGCTATGAAAAGTCCTAACCTCAGCTCTCAGTGCTATTTATACTCTCAGGAAGAGGGTCCGAAGCTGGGATTCAGGATTATTTACATCTTCCTTTTGCTTACAGCTCAGCCATAGGGAGGGCTCATGGCTGGGTAAGGGCTGGAGTGCTCCGTGGAGAGGTTTCTCCATCATTCTCCCTGTTTTCTGTGTCTGCATTTTGCTTGACTTCAACTTAAGCGATTAGCAGGGCTGATGGGAACTAATGATTTACGGGTCCTTTGTAAATGATCACCGTCTCACTCTTAGAACATTTAAGGAAAACCTTTCCTCCTGACAGCCCCCGCTGAAAAGTTCCAGTTAGGGATTTAGCTCAGGGATGGGGGAAATCCTTTTAGTAGAAGTGCTTGGTGTCACATAGATGATTGTTTCACACTGAATTTCGGGAACTCGGGTTCTGGTTGGGAGGTGGCTTGCAAACAAACATCTTGCATCTAGATTTTCTTCCCTTTTCTTAAAGGGGTAACAGCTGCCAGTTTATGGTCTAACTAGGAGAGAAACAGGGCTGGAGGGGGTTTCTTAACCTCCAGTAAGTCAGAGCCTTTTCCTCTTCTCCTGAATCTGAGAAGAAATTGAAAATGTGTGAGAAAGAAAAAAAAACAACCTTAGCTTCTAACCTCCCTACTCTTGTATTTTTCCTAGAAACATAAAAAATTTCCATGAATATTCAGCATGTGTGTTTTTTACTTACTAAACATTATAGTCAAGTGATTATTCAACCGAAACTGCTAAGAAGCAAGTAGGCAGTTAATGAGCACCTCAGGTTTCCCTTTCATTTTTAGCTTAGCAAGTCTGGGGACCAAAAAACCACTTGACATATGAGGCAACAAGGGTGTCCAGGATTTACCTTTAACTGTTGGAAATCTGAGTCTTGGGAGACCCTTCTCCCAGGCCCCACCTTTGGAATGCTGGCTACTCATTATGGGATGCCATCCATCCTCACCATCACCTGCACATATTGGGTGCTCATTGTGATGTGATCTTGAGTACTGTCCGTCCCCCACCATGTATCTTCATCACGTGAGATAAGCTTCAACCCATTTCACGGATAAAGAAACTGAGGCCGAGGAGAAGTGATCTCCCCAAGGTTGGGATGAATACTCTTGGGGCCCATCTCTAGTTGGGGCTTTTCTCTGCTGTGCTGCAAGAATTTTCAGGCCTCATTTAGTCCCCAGGGAAAAGGGAGGGCACAACTTTTCCGTTTTGTAAGCTGCCCTCCCATATTCCTGAGAGAGAAGTGAGAGGGAAGAGTATGAAGGAATATTCTAAATGATGCTCCCTGAGTATCAGACTTGTAGAACCACAGACCTGGCCATTCTCATCGTGTTAGAAGAAGCAGGATGAACAAAGGCTTTTGGAGAATGCTGGGAAACACGGCTGTGGTTTTAGAGACTTAGGCAGCATGACATTCAGGCCCTGGTCATATTAGGATATTAGGACAATGAAGGTCCCAGGCCCTGACCCTAACCCCCGGCTAGGTAAGCAGCAAAGTACTTCTGGCTATTTTGGAGATGCTCTTGGCTGTGGGAAACTGAGGCAGGGGCCTGGCAGGGCTTTTATTTTCATTATACCTCCCTCGTTTTCCTTTCATGACCCCATGGGTGAGGCCCGTAGGAAGTGTCCACGTGGGTAGACAGAAAATGCCCTTTGTCTGTCACAGGCGTGGCCCCAGAGTGCCCACTTCCTCTTACAACTTGGTATGAGCCCAGACTCTGTCAGAAGGGCACCAGGGATGAAATAAGGATGAAGAAATGCTTGCAAACAGAAAGTGAAATGGAGGATATGCAGTTGTTAAGTCCCTTTGCCATTTTTAAGACGCTTTTGAATCCAGGATTCTTTTGAATAAAAGGTCCAGTGATTACAGAAGTATGAGCATTGGTTACGTACCTGTGATGAAAGAGCGCAGCAAAACGGATAGACGTGGGCCTTGAAGTCAGATAGGGTTTGTTTCCCTGCCCTGGTTGTATAACTCTCGTGAGTTATGTAAGTACTCTGGGCCTCAGTTTTCTCATCTGTAAAATGGGGATAATAGCACCTCCTATGGAGGGTACAAAGATGGGGCCACTGTAATTACAAGCAATACTTGATGCAGATGGAATGCTACTGGCCTTTTGGGGAAATGAGGGGTGACAGTAGAATGGGGAGAGAATACGCAAGATCGCAAAGTGTGACCTCCACCACCCAGGATCCTGCAGAATGACCTAACAGGTTACATTTCAGTTGAGGACTGTTCCAGGTGTAAAATTGATGCTGATTTTTTTTTTCCATCCCAGGTTTGGTCTTTCTAAAAAATTCCTTTCACAGGGGCCAGCGGCACTTGATGATGTGACAAAAACCAGCCTCTTCAACCCCACTGCAGTGACTTTTGCCGGAAGTGGAGCGGTGGGCACGGCCAACCTTGTCGTTCATCAATGCCACCCCTGGCAGGATCTGAGCATCGGTGGCCGCCATGCCCCCCCCTGCCCCAGCCGCTCCTTCCCCCCCACGCTAACCTGCATGGTGTGGGCGCCCTTGGGACCCCCGAGGACTGATTGTCTGAACTTGCTTCACACTCCCAGTAAGGACTCCCCCAACATGTCGCTCGAGTGGCTGGTGGCCTGGAGCTGGTCGCTGGATGGCCTGAGGGACTGCATCGCCACCGGCATCCAGTCGGTGCGGGACTGCGACACCACCGCCGTCATCACCGTGGCCTGCCTCCTGGTCCTGTTCGTGTGGTACTGTTACCACGTGGGCAGGGAGCAGCCCCGGCCCTACGTCTCCGTCAACTCCCTCATGCAGGCTGGCGATGCCAACGGGCTGCAGAACGGCTACGTGTACTGCCAGTCCCCCGAGTGCCTGCGCTGCACCCACCACGAGGGCCTCAACCAGAAGCTGTACCACAACCTGCAGGAGTACGCCAAGCGGTACTCCTGGTCCGGCATGGGCCGCATCCACAAGGGCATCCGCGAGCAGGGCCGGTACCTCAACAGCCGGCCGTCCATCCAGAAGCCCGAGGTCTTCTTCCTGCCCGACCTCCCCACCACGCCCTACTTCTCCCGGGACGCACAGAAACACGACGTGGAAGTGCTGGAACGGAACTTCCAGACCATCCTGTGCGAGTTTGAGACCCTCTACAAAGCTTTCTCAAACTGCAGTCTCCCGCAAGGATGGAAAATGAACAGCACCCCCAGCGGGGAGTGGTTCACCTTTTACTTGGTCAATCAGGGGGTTTGTGTTCCCAGGAACTGCAGGAAGTGCCCACGGACGTACCGCTTGCTGGGAAGCCTTCGGACCTGTATTGGGAACAATGTTTTTGGGAACGCGTGCATCTCTGTGCTGAGCCCTGGGACCGTGATAACGGAGCACTATGGACCCACCAACATCCGCATCCGATGCCATTTAGGTATGTTGCAGGGACGGGGGTCTCCAGGCATGCGCATCTGTGAGCTCAGCCCCTCACTCACGGGAGTCAAAACATCGCGAAAGCCCCAATGGCCAGAATCGTGCCTTTTCACATCCTTCACTGCACTTTTAGCAAAAACGGATGAATTGCATGTAAACAATTTTGACAGCAGAGATTGAGTCAAAAAGAAATCTTGTGATCACTGCAAACCTAATTTCTGACAGCAGCTCTGTGCAAAGAACTTTCTGCAGTGACCGAAATATTCTCCATCGTCATTGTCCAACATGGCAGCCACTAGACACGTGGGACTAATTAAGTGCTTGACACGTGGTTCCTGTAACTGAGGAACTAAATTGCTAATTTAAACAGCAGTGACACATACGGCTAGTGGCTACATATGGGACAGTGTCGTTCTAGAGCCAAAGACTTGTTAAAATGATTACCCAGGTTGGTAATGATGCCCAGGAGGCTGGGAAAGATATTTAAGTGCCTTTGCAGTCATCAAGGATGAAATGATCCTTGGTGCTAAGCTTGTTTTACTCCGATTCTGAGAAAATTGGTCGTATGTGTACTGTGTGTGTGGTGGTTTTGCAAAGCCTGGAGTTAGAGTGCCTTTGTTTGCATCTTGGACCCATCATGAGCTGTGCTACTTTAGGCAAGTCACTTCACCTCTCTGAGCCTCAATTTCATCATTTGGGAAGTGGAGGTAAAAAGCTCTTCCCCTAAAGAGTTATCCTGAGGATTGAATCAGATAACGTGTATTGTAAAGTATGTATGCACAGAGCCTAAAGTAGAGCAAGTATTCAATAAAAGCAGGCTTAAAACACCTTGGGGCCAGGCGCGGTGGCTCACGCCTGTAATCCCAGCACTTTGGGAGGCCAAGGCGGGCGGTTCACAAGGTTAGGAGTTCAAGACCCACCTGACCTGGTCTCTACTAAAAATATAAAAATTAGCCAGGTGTGGTGGCACATGCCTATAATTCCAGCTACTTGGGAGGCTGAGGCAGGAGAATCACTTGAACCCGGGAGGTGGAGGTTGCAGTGAGTTGAGATTGCACCACTGCACTTCAGCCTGGGCAACAGAGTGAGACCCTCTCTTAAAAAACACACAACAACAACAACAACAACAAAATCTTGGTCATGGAGATACTTCCCCAGAATGCCTTATTCCTGGTGAGTGGCATCACTGGTTAGCATCCCAGATCAGAGGGTGCAGAGAGAGCCTTGGCAGCGTCCAGCTTTAGGAAGTTCGTGAAGCTGCCTCAGCTTCAGAAGGGAGGAAGGAAGAACAGCAGGAGGAACCTGGTGCATGGGTTGGAGCAGGAGTTTCATAACCATGTTCTGCAGAGGAGCCTCAGGGCTGCCTGGGAAGGAGCTTGAGCTGGCGGCCCGAGCCCTCTTCACCCTCAGCAGCTCTGCTTCTCCTGCTGTCTGTGCGGTTTGGATGGAGGATGTCACTGCATTAAAAGGAGAAGAAGAAAGAAAGAAATATAACTGAATTTGAGCAATTGACATGGTAGGAACTTCAAGAGTAAAGTTCCTGGTCAGCCGTGAGACTTCGAGCAGGGTCCCTGAGTCTCTCTCTGCCTCAGTTCTTCATCTGTAAAATGGGGAGATGGGATTTAGGTCACAGGATTGTTGAGAGGATTAAATAAGTGGCATCTTACATGGCCACTTGGCAGGGTGCCTGGCACGTGATGGCATTTGATGAATGGGAGCTAGTGGCTGTTATCAAGGACGGTGTTGGACCATGTGAAAAATGATCCCTAAGACATGGTCCCTGCCCCCAGGAAGCAGTGGGAAATGAACAGGCTTTGGAAGCAAATAGATCTGGACTCAGGTCCTGGCTTCGCCCCGTGTACTGAGTGACCTTGGGCAGGGCTCTGAACCTTCTTGAGCCTCCGTCTTCTCTCTAAAACAGAGATAACGATTCCCATTTGCGGGCTTTTTTGAGGAGTGGGAAGTCACGTGTAAAATGCTTGGTAGGTAGAGGGCAGTGGACAGTGAGCTAATCTAAGTGACAGGATGATCATCTAAGTGGACAGTAAGCTAATCTAAGTGATAGTCATTAGCAAAACTGCTGTGCGAGGCCCCAAGCCTCACTCGGCTGCAGACAGGGTGCCCTGGGGAGGTGGGTCTGATACCGGAGGATCCCCAGATAGAAATCAGGCGCCACCAGGGTGGAACGAGGGAGCAGAGCAGAGTCGTCCCCTGGGGCTTGGGGAAGCCAGGTCTAGGCTTGCTGGGGAGGCCAGTAGTGTGAGCTGAAGTTAGACAGGTCAGATGGAAGCAAACCTCAGAGGGCCTTGATGCCAGGCTTGGAAATGGAGGCTGTGGGCAATGGAGAGGGATGCTTTTCTTTTGAAAGGTTTGCCTTTCTGTATTGTTTTAAAGCTTCAGAATGACATGCAGGGAAGGGCATTTGAGGACTGATGTGGTAGAATTCCAAACAGGTGTGTTGAGTAGGAAGCAATGGTAGCAAGGAAAATCTGGGGCTTGCTTCCTGTAGATTAAGGCCTGTTGTTTATCTGTACGACATGCATGCATGAGGGGTGTGTGTGTGTGTGTGTGTGTGTGTGTGTAAAACATGCCCACACTGTGGCCTGTGGCTTGTCATTCCCTTCTCAGCCCAGCTAGGTACCTACCAGGAAAAGTAGGCCCTCCATATTCCAACAGACGGCAGGAAACCTTCTTGGAAGACGTCCCACTGTGGTGTGGCTTCTTCTCCACAGCCAGGGCGAGCTCCCTGGTTGGGTTTTCCCAGCATTTACTTCTTTACACTGTCACACCCGCATTAATATTCACCAGGAAGGAAACAAAGGTGTGTCAGATTTACATGACCTTGTGTGTTGACAGAGAATGAGGTCAGAAGCAGGATAAGCCTGGTGTGGAACTGGCGGCCACACCTCTGCTGGTTACCTGGCCGAAGGTGGAGGCAGCTGCAGTTCCAGAACCGTGCTCTTGAAACGCCAGTGCTTTCTCCTATTCCGCCTTCTGCCTGAGCTGTGACTGACAGAGTTGTCCCTGTGGACCACTGAAGTCCCAGCCACTGCTCCTCATGAACACAGCCTGTTTGCTCGAGACATATTTGCCGAGCCCTGCTGTGAGCCACTTCTAGAGACGGCATCACCCAGTCCCGACTTCATACGGGACCACAGCACAGCTCCAGGCCCACCCCTCACTCAGCATCGTACACAATGCTGGGGTATTCCAACTGCATTGCTGCAAACTTACAGAAAACCACCTCTGAAACTCACCAGGCAGATGTTACCAGGGAGGCAGAGATACTCCATGAAAATGCATGAGTATCTTCAGCAAACTGCAGCTCAAGCAGCACAATTAGTCTCTTGTGTTTCTTTTCTGCATGTCATCAGATTTCTAGGTGGTCTAGCTGGGTAGTAACAGTGGATCAGCTCATGTCCCCCTTGCCCATCCTGAGGGCCTGGTTGCCAGCCACCTGAAGTGGGGCCACTGGTGGACAGAGCCTTTCTCTACCCTCCTCCTGCCTCCTTCAGGGCTCAGTAGGGACAGAGCAGCAAACCTTGAGGCATAGAGGAGTGCATGGGACTAATTGAGGCCATGTGTGGGCCTGTCACTGTCCCCAAGAGCCACTGGAATGATCTGTTTAGGGAAGAATTGAGTCCTTCTGCCAACTAAACCGGTCTGTGGGCAACAGGCAGGAATGGGGGTAGGAGCAGAATGAAGGGGAGGTGGAGAACGAGAAGCAGGGGGGTGTCAAGCCAGCAGGGCAGGCCATTTTTCTGTCGCACCATGGTGCATGGTGATGAATCATTTAGTGGCCCAGAGAAAGGGGAGCTTCTTTCTGAAACCCCTGGGTGGCTGTCCCTGCAGAGAATTGCCCATTCCGAAAGGCCTTCACCACCTGAACTAGCCAGTAGGGGCACACACAAAAGGAAACGTAGCCTGTGGGGCCGCCCATCTGAGACCTTTACAACCCTGACTCCCCAGCTGCTGTTCACCAGAGCGGGAAATCATGGTACCTGTCAGAATGGGCAGTCTCAGCTGATGTAATGAAATGTACTATTGACAGTTGAAATGTATTATAATAGGGTTCTCTTAGAGGGACAGAACTAACAGGACACATATGTATATATATATATATAAAGGGGAGTTTATTAAGTATTAACTTACATGATCACAAGGTCCCACACTAGGCTGAGGAGCAAGGAGAACCAGTCCCACTCCCAAAACCGAAGAACTTGGAGTCTGACATATGAAGGCAGGAAGCATCCAGCACTGGAGAAAGATGGAGGCTGGGAGGCTGGGCCAGTCTTGCCTTTTTATGTTTTTCTGCTTGCTTTATATCCACTGGAAGCTGATTAGATGGTGCCACCAGATTATGGGTGGATCTGCCTTCCCCAGCCCACTGATTCAGATGTTACTCTCTTTTGGCAACACCCACATAGACAAACGCAGCATTAATACTTTGTATCCCTCAATCCAATCAAGTTGACACTTCTTATTAACCATCACACATATTAACTACAAGAAAATCAGCAGTCATCCAAGCACAGTGGCTCATGCCCATAATCCCAGCACGTTGGGAGGCAGAGGAAGGTGGATCTCTTGAGCCCAGAAGTTCGAGACCAGCTTGGCCAACATGGCGAAACCCCGTCTCTATTAAAAATACAAAAATTAGCCAGACACGGAGGTGCCCACCTGTAATCCCAGCTACTTGACAGGCTGAGGTGGGAGAATTGCTTGAACCCTAGAGGCGGAGGCTGCAGTGAGCCGAGATCACACCACTCCACTCCAGCCTGGCCAACAGAGTGAGGCTTCATCTCAAAAAAAAAAGAAAGAAAAAGAAAAATTGAAAAATGCACAATCATTTTGATTCCTCCGTTAGTAGTATAACAGCTAGCATTTATATCATTGCGTCCAGTTTTATAACAGCTTGCTCTCTGGAGCCAGGCAGACTCAGCAATGCTAAATGGTAACTTTGTAGCAGGTCATTTAACTTCTCAGTTACCCCATCTGGAAAGTGGGTGAAGTGATGTCTGTAAAGTGTTCCTTTAGCACAAGGCTGAGTAGGAAGACACAGTAGGCCTTCAGTTATTGGTAACAAGGATAAAAGTCCCATAGCAGCCCTGGAAGGTTCAGTATGCTAATGTCCCCCTCTTTACAGAGGAGGAGGGTATGGCTCAGAGAGGCTGAGTAACTTGCCCAAAGTCACACAGCACATAAGGGTCAGAACCAGTGATCTGTCCCCAAGTCCTCTGTCCTTCTCTCTCCTCCATGTGGCCTCTTTATTTGAATTATTACTCTGAGCATACTTCCTGGAACCATTATTTCTGGTTCAAAGAATACATTAAAATACTCTGGCTGCTGGAACGAAAGCTATTTCATTTCTGTGCTAAAGGACATTAAATCAGAGGGGAATGCCAACTAGCTCAGGGTCATCGTGGTCACAGTCACTGAAGACAGATGAGACCACCACCCATCCCAGCTCCTCTTCCAGGACTCTGGTTCCCCCTGGGGGGCCTTCCTGAGGGCTGTTGGGCTGACCCGGCCGCTTCTGAAATCATTAGACAGCCACAGTGGCCCCTTCTTTTATGGGCATCAAGGTAGTGATGGTGGCCAAGTGTTTCTGTAGACTCTTGAATTGGAAAGGGAGGCTGAAGCTCTGCCATGGCAGTGTTCCAGGCAGAGCCCACTGGCCTTTGAAGCATATGGTTTTTTGTTTTTTTTTTTTTTGAGAAAGATCTCGCTCTGTTGCCCAGGCTGGAGTGCAGTAGTGCGATTCGTCCAGGCTGGAGTGCAGTGGCACAATCTCAGCTCACTGCAACCTCCGCCTCCTGGGTTCAAGCAATCCTAGTGCCTCAGCCTCCCAAGTAGCTGGGATTACAGGCGTGCACCACCACACCTGGCTAATTCTTGTATTATTAGTAGAGACAGGGTTTCATCGTGTTGGCCAGGCTGGTCTCAAACTCCTGGCCTCACACAATCTGCCTGCCCCTCAGCCTCCCAAAGTGCTGGGATTACAGATGTGAGCCGCTGCACCCGCTAAGCATACAGCTTCTTACGAAGGTGCCAGTCTGTTTCCTCTGGAAGCTCAAGGATGACCTTAGGAGTGTCCTCCAGTGTCCCAGAATGTGGCCAGATGAAGAGCATGCCATCCTCCAGCCTCAAAATGGATTAAAAGGCTAGAACCCAAAGAGGAGAACACTGTGAGCCTTTGCGTCTTTAATCGCAACTGAGATAGTCCTCGAGGTGAGATTACAGTGAACAGAGTTACTAGGCAAGGCAGGGTTCTAAACCCAGCCTCCCTTGATTTCTGGAGGTCCCCTGGTTGGGCTTCAGGAGTCTCCAAAGTATAGTGCAAATGTTGATCTGTGACTTTCATCACAGGAATCCATGACCCAGAATAGATGAAGCCAGTGAAGGAATGGATTTTTGCCAAGAGCACAGTGAGGATCTAGGTGGTGGCTTATAAGCAACAGGAATGTAGAACTCATAGCTCTGAGGCTAGAAGATCAAGACCAAGGTGCCAGCAGATTTGGTGTCTGGTGAGGGCCTACTTCTGGTTCATAAATGACACCTTCTCACTGCGCCTTCACATCATGGAAGGAGGTGGCCAGGTGCAGTGGCTCGTGCCTCTAATCCTAACACTTTGGGAGGCTGAGGTGGGAGGATAGCTTGAGGCCAGGAGTTTGAGACCGGCCTGGATAACATAGCAAGACCCCATCTTTACAAAAAAAATTTAAAAATTAGCTGGGCATGATGGTGCATGCCTGTAGTCCCAGCTACTCAAGAGGCTGAGGCTGGGGGATCTCCAGAGCCTCGGAGATCGAGGCTGCAGTGAACTATGGTGGAGCCACTGCATTTCAGCCTGGGCAACAAAATAAGACCTTGTATCTAAAAAAAAAAAGATGTCAGGCCAGGTGCGTTGGCTTACACCTGTAATCTTAGCACTTTGGGAGGCCGAGGCAAGCAGATCACTTGAGGTCAGGAGGTCGAGACAAGCCTGGCCAACATGGTGAAACCCCATCTCTATTAAAAATACAAAAATTAGCCAGGTGAGGTGGCGGGTGCCTGTAAGCTGCTCCAGTACCTCCCAGCTACTCCACAGGCTGAGGCAGGAGAGTCACTTGAACCTGGGAGGTGGAGGTTGCAATGAGCCAAGATTGTGCCTCTGCACACCAGCCTGGGCAACAGTACAAGACTCCATCTCAAAAAATTAAAAAAAGGAGGTAAAGAAGCTTCCTTGGGCTTGTCTTTTTTTTTTTTTTTTTTTTTTTCAGACATAGTCTCACTGTGTCACCCAGTCTGGAATGCAGTGGCACGATCTCGGCTCACTACAACCTCCACCTCCCGGGTTCAAGCAGTTCCCTGCCTCAAGCCTCCTGAGTAGCTGAGATTACGGGAGTGTGCCACCATGCCCAGCTAATTTTTGTATTTTTAGTAGAGACAGGATTTCACCGTCTTGGCCAGGCTGGTCTTGAACTCGTGATCCACCTGCCTCATCCTCCCAAAGTGCTGGGATTACAGGCGTGAGCCACCATGCCCGGCTGGACTTGTCTTATAAGGGTGCTACTCCCATTTATGAGGACCCTGCCTTCATGATCCGATCACTTCCCAAAGGCCCCACCCCCTAACACTGTCACCTCGGGGGTCAGGTTTCAACACAGGAGTTTTGCAGGGACATGTGAATTCAGAGCACAACCCAGCTCCAGAGGGGTGAGGCAGGTCAGGTGCTTTGGAAGCCAGAAGCTCTCAAGGCAAGTCACCCCTGCCTGCTGGCCTTCCCTGAAACGTGCCTGCCTTCACTCTCCTTTCTCTGGTTTTCCTACAAGGCCTGAAAACTCCAAATGGCTGTGAGCTGGTGGTCGGGGGAGAGCCCCAGTGCTGGGCAGAAGGGCGCTGCCTTCTCTTTGACGACTCTTTCCTGCATGCCGCGTTCCATGAAGGTGGGTGGCTGCCTTTCCCGTTTCCTTTTTGTTTTGTTTTTCACTGAATAGACTTTGTTTCTTAGAGAAGTTTCAGGTTTCCAGAAAAACCGAGCAGAAAGTACCAAGCAGCCACCTTCATATCACCCCAGAACACAGACACACACATACAGTATTGATGCGTTATTATTACCTAAAGTTCGTAGTTGACATTCAGGTTCGCTCTTGGTGTTGTCCATTCTTTGGATTTTGACAAATGCATAATGACACGGGCCTCCCATGACAGCATCATACAGAATAGTTTCACGGTCCTAAAAATTCCTGTTTAAAGATCCCTCCATCTCCCCATTTCCTTTTGTCCACACTGCTCAGAAGCCCATGAAGCCATGTGTCTCTTCTCAGTTAGAGAGGAGGTGGTCTGATCCGAGCTGAGGGAGAGGATGCGTCCCCGCCCCCAAAGCTGAGCATGTCGGGTTCGGCCCTGCCTGGATCCTGGGTCCTGGCTCCAGGGTGGTTTGAACCTCTCCTCTCACCCCTCCTTCCCCCCAGGTTCAGCAGAGGACGGCCCGCGGGTGGTTTTCATGGTGGATTTGTGGCATCCAAACGTCGCAGCGGCCGAAAGGCAGGCCCTCGATTTCATCTTTGCTCCAGGACGATGAGACTATTTCCCATGCTGGAGTCAGCGAGGGGGCGAGGCGGGGCCTGGGCAGACTGTGGTCACATCCAGCCTCCACCTGTGTTATGATTCCAGGCTTGGAAACCTGCCTCCGCGGAAAGCTCTGAACTGGGATTTTATATCATGTCGGGTCTCTCTTTCCTTTGGTTATTGTAAATGGAAACTTTTCAGCTTGTACTTCCTTCGATTTTTTTTTTTCCTTCCAATCATTTGCTTCAGAGATTCCTTTCTGGCCTGATAGCGCATTCGTTTGATTCTGTGACCAGAGACTTAGTGGCCTTGTAGGTTGTCTTATGTTGCTACTTGGTTTTCTCAGTGCTCTGAAATAGAGTAACTAAATGGTTATTTGTCTGAATGTAATAATGTACAATTTCTTGTGGTCATCTTAAAAAAAAAAAAAAAAACTCAACTGAAAACTGCAAACCAGGGAGCTGGAGAACTCGGCCTCTGAGGCTGCCACACAGGGGACCGTTCAGCCACCTGAGGGCAGGGGGAGAATCTGTGGCCCCCACACCCAACTGGCTTCAGTAGCTGGGTGAAGAGGCTGCCAGACACACAGTCAGGGTGGCGCACAGTGTCCAGGCCCAGGGATACCGTCACCATCGCTCACCTCACCCTAAACCTTATCAGGTCCCTGGAAGGCAAAAGCATTCAGCCGGTGGGACTCTTTAAACGCGGCTTTCCCGCAAAGTTGAAGCTGGTGTCCCTCAGCGCCAAGCTGCGGCTCACACACATCAGCCACGGAACGTGTGATCCGCTTACCTCACTGCCTACAGAAACCCTACTGCCAAACTGGGCCTGGAAAATTCCCAGTTGTAGCTGTTTTTGAGTCCGCGGTGATGCACCTTCAGACCACCAGGTTGGCTGTCAGGAGCTGGAGTAGCATAAACCCGCGCTCACCCAGTGACCGTCGGGGAAAGCCTTGCTCTGGCAAAACTGGAATAATCGATCTGACCAAAGTTTCTGTTTTGCTTTGGCGTTCTGTTGCCTCTGATTTTTTTTTTTCATTTATTTGTCTGTACATAAATGTTCAAACACTAGACTCGGAGATAGTGGAAGGATTGACCCTGTGTCTTTGTCACGGCACAAAGGTGTGCACTGCGTGATGGGGGTCCAAGCCAGTGTGTCAGTAAAGATGGCTTGAGCCCAGGAGTTCGAGACCAGCCTGAGGAAGAACCCGCAAACCCCGACAACCCGTGGTCACCGTACTGGCTTGCTGGTCTCCTGTGAAGAACACGCAGCTCTCTTCCCAAAGGAAAAGGTCCCAGGAGACCAGTTTGAGGCACTCAGTCTAGAAATAGCCTGTGTTAGCTGATGTGTGAAAGCGCAGCCAGCCAGCCACACTAGAGATGCCTTTTCTGAATAATGTATCATGGGCGGTGTCAGATTTATAAAGCTGAGGAGTGGTTTAGAATATAAAGCTGGTCGCAGGTACAGGTCCAGTGTTTAGATCCAAATGGAAACCAGCAGCTTCTAAGAGGTACAGCTGTCCAAAGAAAACACGATCTGAAATGCACCAGGCAGTTCCTAGCAAGTGTGCAGAGGACACGTCTACATTTGAGTGGAATGTCTATACAGATACCTGTCAGCGATGAGAATGCGGGAAAAGGCAGACATTTCAAACACACCTGAAGTCTTTTTACTCATTAAGTATCTTGTTAAAGAATCACTGAGGTGCATGATTTCTACACATCCTGACTGCTCTGCTCCGTGTTCACAAAACCGACAGCACGTGCAGGTACCTGGCTACCTGCATTCCTGTGACGTGGTTGGGGAACGGAAGATAAATAAAGGATCTTGCTGAAAACCAGAGTGAAGTGGTGAGGTTGTCTGTTGTAAAGAAAGACTGAGGCCAGGCTTGGTGGCTCACACCTGTGAACCTAGCGCTTTGGGGAGCTGAGGCGGGAGGATCATTTGAGCCCAGGAGTCTGAGACCAGCCTCAGCAATATAGTGAGACATTGTCTCTACCACAAAACAAAAAACTAGCTGAGTGTGGTGGTGCACACCTGTAGTCCCAGCTACTTGAGGGGCTGAGGTGGGAGGCTCACTTGAACCTGGGAGGCGGGGGCTGCAGTGAGCCGAGATCGCGTCAGTGCACTCCGGCCAAGATGACAGGGCAAGACCCTGTCCAAAAAAAAGAAAAAAGACTTGGCAGGCAGAAGCAGGCAGTGACTTTGAGGCTCTTGTATTTTGAGTCGTGTCACAGAGACAGGTGGGTCACTAGGATTGTGGATAGTGAATGAAGCAAAATGTCCCAAAGTGATAGGACCAGTGGGTTGAGGGCACAAGAGCAATCTAGGGTATGTGAGGGAGCAAGAGATGTCAAACTGGGCAAAGAACAAGGACTCTGGCTTCAGAGAAGCTGAGGATTCAGGACTCCATGTCAAGAGTTTGCACCCTCGTGACTTTGGGCAAGTCCCTGAGCCTCTCACAGCCTCAGTTCCCCCTCTGTGGGTATGTGCAGTACCTGGCTTATAAAGGGTACTTGACAATGTTGTCTCCCTTTCTGCCACAGCAGATTAGAAAAACAGTGGAAGAGGAAGGGAAGAGATGGGAAATATATCAGGGCAGCAGTGGGTGTGGCCAGAGAAGCCAGTGGCTAATTTCAACTGCCTGTGTCTAATCACAAAGGAAGAAGCATGTCCCTCAGTAGCTACATTTTTCTTTTTTTTCCCCTTTAGAAGAGAGGGAGACAGGGGGTCTCCCAGCCAGGAGCCCCGGAGCAGCCAGGCTGCCGGGTGTTTTTGCTGGCAGGCGGGGTTCCAGCCAGCAGTCCTGGCTGGGCTGCTGAGCTGCCACAGCGAGCGGAAGAGAAGAGCGCCACTCGCCTGGGATCGCAATGTTTCTCACCCTCCTCAAGTGTGCATTGCCAACTAGGCAACTGTTAAGCTAATTTACATGTTGTAGCTCTGGAGGCTCAAGGTGAGAAAGGGGAGCCAGCCGGCTGCAAACGGGAATCCTGCCTTCCACCCGAGACAGCCTGGATTGGCCTCAGGCTCTCTCTGTTCCTGTGTACTCAAGGCCAGACCAGTCACTGTTTATACAAGGTCACACCCCAAGTCTTCCGATCCCAAACCCTTTTTCCCAGGCATCTGCTCATCAGCCCCCAGAGTCCGCCAGATTGTCTGGGTTCTGTCCTTGGTGACAGCCACTAACACCGAGTGCTCCGTAGCATACCCTGGGAGAGAGGAAGAGTGAGCCTGGTGTGCTGGTCCTTGCATTCAGCTGCACGATGCAGTCACCTGGGAACTTGTGGGAAATCCCAGTGCCCACACCCCCTCCCAAAGCATCTTTTTTCTTTGCACTGGGAGTGGGGTCCAGGCGTGGGTCCTTGTTTTAAACATTTCTGGTCATGATTCTAAAGTGAGGCTCGGGCTGAGGGTCGCTGCTGTGAATAGGAAGAATGATGAGGTCTTTGAAACCAGTCAGCCTGGAGGTGAAATTCTGGGCTATGCTCCTGTCGAACACTGGGCAGGCCACCTAACCTTGGTCTCTAGAGGACAGCCACTGTTTTTGTTGTTTTGAGACAGAGTCTCACTCTGTCACTTAGGCTGGAGTGCAGTGGTACAATCTCGGCTCACTGCAACCTCCACCTTCTGGTGATTCTCCTGACTCAGCCTCGCGACTAGCTGGGATTACAGGCACCCGCCACCACACCAGGCTGATTTTTGTATTTTTAGTAGAGATGGGGTTTCACTATGTTGGCCAGGCTGATCTTGAACTCCTGACCTCAAGTGATCTGCCCCCCAAAGTGCTGTGATTGAACCACCGACAGCCATTGCTTTTAACCCTATCCTGCCTACAGTACCCTGATAGGCCTCTTGCAAGATCCTAACATCCCCATGCTCAGTCCGTGGGTCTCCAGGGCTGGACCCATGACCCAGATCTAACCAATCAGTCTTCCAAACTCCATGCCGCTGTGAGTTTGGGTCAGGGCTGGGCACGTGATCCAAATTCTTTTGCTGGGACCGCTGCAAAAGGCCACTTTTCATTGGGTGGGCGGTGAAGGGAAAGAAGCTGAGAGAGAAACCCACGGAGGCAAGCAGGGCCTACGGCTGTGGAGACCACGTGAGTCCTGAACATAGCTCTGCCAGAAACCAGCTCTACCTCTGGACTTTTCTGTTGCAGGAGTCAACAAATGCGCTTTTTATTCTTAAGCCAAGTTTGCGTTGTGGTTTCTATCCCTTGCCACCAAAGGCCCTAATCTGCTCTGTGAGCGTCAAGTGAGGTTTCGGTAAGATACTATTACGTCGTGGTCTGGGTGGATCGGAGGGGTGCTCCGTACACATTGTCTGTTTTTGTTCTTCTGAGACAGAGTCTCACTCTGTTACGCAGGCTGGAGCACAGTGGCGCAATCTCGGCTCACTGCAACCTCCACCTCAGTGATTCTCCTGCCTCAGCCTCACAACTAGCTGGGATTATAGGCACCCGCCACCACGCCTGGCTACTTTTTGTATTTTTAGTAGAGATGGGATTTTGCCATGTTGGCCAGGCTGATCTCGAACTCCTGACCTCAAGTGATCCTCCCCCCAAAGTGCTGGGATTACAGGCGTGAGCCACCATGGCTGGCTGACAGCCACTGCTTTTAACCCTATCCTGCCACTCGTGTTTACATTGTGTAAATATGAGTAGCAGAGGGTAAGCACAAAATGAGGTCTTTGAGGACCGTCGTGCCTGCTGCCAGCAACCTTCCGTAACATTTACCTCCCCAACCGAATCTTGCTAACCAGATGTAAACACAGGGAACAGGACAGAATAAGGCCACATATTTTAGAACTGCTGACAGATGGCAGGGAAAATACTCAAGCAGATTGCAGCATTAGGAGGCGGGAGGCGGCACACATGGGCATTGGTTTACTTTCCGCCTCTTTCCCAGGCACACACGTTGCTTCTAACTTCTGGGTACCTGCCCTTCTCCATGTCTCCCCATGCCCCATGCATTATCCACCCCCAAGTTCAAGGTAAGGGCACTTGCTTCTTTGAGCACAGAGGGCACTGTGCGCCCTACGGGGTTCCTTCCCATCCCTTATCCTTGTCCACTGCACATTTAACACATGAGAAAACAGGCTCAGAGCAGGCTGTTGACGTGAACAAGGTCACGTGGCCGGCTGGAGGGCGAACTGGAATTGGACGCCAAGTATCCAGGCCGGCAGCACAGCGCATCTTCTGCGGTCTGGACACACATCGAGGCCTCACTTCCTCAGCATGCAGAAGGACCGCCCCCGCCACACCCCCCGGGTCTTTCTCCCTGTCCCAGGAGGCCGTTTGCCTTCTCAGAACACTCAACAGGGCACTCCATTTTCTGAGGGCCCGTGATAGGCTAAGTCCTTATATACATTCCTTCTCCTGTCCATTTTAAAGAAGAGGATACTGAGGCTCAGAGAAAGAAAAGCGACTTGCCCCGACTTCCAGTATAAAGTTGCAGAGCTGCGATTTGAACCCAGCTGTTTGACACCAAAGCCCATGTGCTCCTGGCCACAGCCACAGGAGCCGGCCCAGCCTGGGTGGGGAGGAAGGAGGCACACTCAGTAGAGGACTTGCCTCCGTCTCTTCCTGCCCATGGGTGCAGCCGCCCAAGCCCCACAACCCTTTCCTTGGGGTGCTTGACCCAGCCGCTAGGAAGGCAGGGCCAGGGAGAAGAGTTGGAACTCTCGGCTTGGACCTCAGCATGCATAGGCAATCATAAAACACCTCCTGGCTCTTGACAGGATTCCAAAGCACTCTCTGGGTTTTATTCTCAGGGGAAGTACAGCTAATTTCAGGTTTGGACATTTAAATCCTGGATCAACAGAGAAGGTGTCCTGTTTTCACCTTGAAGCCCTTAAAATCTTCACTGTAAGCTTCTCGAACTCAACAAATATGTTGAAGAAAGAAAGATCTAGAGTATGTTTTATTTCTCAGCTAGGATGCGGAGCGTGGGTCTGACACCTGCCCTCCCCCGTCTCCTCACAGAGAGCTGGGTGGTAGTCAGAATAAGCAGCAAAGCAGGGGCCAAGTGCTTCCCTCACCCACCGTCCTTTCTCCAGGAGCAACAGCGGGTTCCGGGGTTGGTACAGGCGTGTGTGTGTCAAGAGCACAGGCTGTGAATATTAGTGTGGGTTTCCTGCTCACTCCCTCCGCAAGCTCCTTCAGGGCAAACTATCTCCGAGGCTGCCTTCTCCACTGGGCCTGTCCCTCCCCGACCCAAACCTAATCTGTGCCAAGCGTGTCTGCCTCTTATCTGGCCTCCTCTCTGCTTCAGCCATTCCCCTTCCCACCTGGACAACCACGGCCTCCTGCTGGTTTCCACTCTTGGCAGGCTTATCCTCCACTCTGGAGCTAGTGACCTTCCTCAGGAGGACCAGCTCAAGTCACTGCATTTTTTTTTTTTTTTTTTTTGGAGACAGAGTCTCACTCTGATTGCCCAGGCTGGAGTGCAATGAATCTCAGCTTGGCTCACTGCAATGGTGCAGTCTTCGCTCATTGGAACCCCACCTCCTGGGTTCAAGTGATCTCCTGCCTCAGCCTCCCAAGTAGCTGGGATTACAGGCATGTGCCACCACACCGGGCTAGTTTTTGTAATTTTAGTAGAGATGGGGTTTCATCACCTTGGCCAGGATGGTATTGAACTTCTGAGCTCAAGTGATCCACCCTCCTTGGCCTCCCAAAGTGCTGGAATTATACAGTTGAGACATGGTGCCCGGCCCACTCCCCTGCTTAAAGGTTCCCCTGTGCCCGAGCCATGGGAACCTTGCAACGCCCTTCATGTGGGGCCCCAGTGCTTCCCACGCCCTATCCATGCTCTGTGCTACTGGGAGAAAGAGGGCTGG